AACTATTCCTGCTGTAGAATATACCATGGTTAATTTATGTAATAAAGCGTTACAAGTTATTTTAGCAACAAAGTTTGGTCAAATCAATCGCAAACTATGTACTAAATTCCTATTTAAAATAAGTACGAGATATTTCCTTATCTTTCTCCAAGAAATAACCTTTTTGCCACAAAAAACGCTCCAATAGCTATTTTCAACAACAAAATGATAAACAAACAAACCATGGGCGAAGTTATTAAGTAAATTCTTTTAGTCAAATTTCTTCTGAAAGTAGTACAAACTAATCTGATGTACCTATTAAAGTCTACTTTAAGCTTTAAATCAATAAATCTTCAAAACTACTGAACTGAAGCTCATGTATTTTACATCATTATAAATGGAACTGAAATACCTTTAAAATAAGGTATCACTCGACCCCCCTTTCCATTTAAGATTTTAGGGTTGGTGTCACTCGCGCCCAGGGGGCTGAACGTATTAACGTGATTTTTTGCCAAACTTGTGCCCCCCTCGAAAACAAAATCGACGGGTCTGAGCGTTTTTCCAAAAAAAAACTGAGCTGCCAGTAAATGCGTCTGTTTCGTTTTCGATGCGCCACCCTGATATAATATATATCTGTGTATTATCGGCATAGCACATCATAGAAGGGTTTTTCACAGAGCTACCTAAATCTATAGTATAAATTAAGTACATCAGAGGCCCTAAAACTGAATCCTGAGGGACACCTGAGATTATAATCAATCTGACTGGATATAGTATTGTCTAACTCTACTACTTGTTTAGGATTTGAAGGATATGTTACAAAAAACATAGGAGGTATGTCTGAAAAACCAAAAAACTTCAATTTAGCACATAAAAGCTCATGATCTATTTTATCGAACGCCTTAGAATAATCTAATGATACAAGTGCTGAAGCATCTCCCTTATCTAGCGAAGCAATTATGTCATCTAAAACCTTTGCAAAACCTGTACTAAAACCACTGCGGAAACCAGATTGACACTTGGGAAAGAAATCATCATTAGAAAAATAATGATAAACCTGATGTTTAATCAATTTCTCCAATATCTTAGATATAAGAGGAATCAAAGTTATAGGTCTTAAGTCTGAGAGACTTTACGGATTTTTACATTTAGGCAAAGGCTTGACGAGATATAGCTTCCAAGCATCAGGGAAATTTGTCAGATCAAAAGAGAATCCTCGACTTCAAATTTAAATTATTCCCAAGATCAAATCCTAAATGCCTGTTATTTTAAGAGGATAATGTACGAAAGTTCGATCTTGTTCTGATGAGACTTAGGCTATGGTCGAAAAATACATGTCTAACATAAACCAATACGACATACTAACGGAATATTGTTTAAAAAAGTGAATTTCAAGGAGCTTAATACACATGTGTTCGAAGTGTAACATTGAATTGACGATGTTAAAAGGCAGGTAACCGGATATGATGTAATCTCTAAACGCCTGGAGTGCGCAAATTTGCAGGATTCAAGAAGCGTTGGAATTCGCTCATATTTCATTGTAAGACAAGCTCAATATCGTGACAGCTCTATTAAAAATATACCCATTAGACTTTGGAGGACCTTCTTCAAAAAGTTGAATGGTCTTCGGCCTGTTGATTTTTTTATATTTGTGGGCGACATATTCGTTGCTGGTCTAGAGATGAGCAAAAACTCGCGAACTGCGATTTACTCGCAGCGATTATACAATCCCAATCGCAACCTGCGAGCCCGTTCCGTAGCTGGTGGGTACCGTACAATCGCGGCAATCGCTTTGGGAGTGACACATGCGAGTGGCGATTGGCGGTTAAAAACGAGCGGATTGCGTTGCTTTTATATGGTTGTGAGTTGTGACTGTTGCGAACTACGAATACGAATTGTTAGGATTGTTATTATTATTATTATTATGATAATTGAGATGAGCAGAGTACACAGTACTATAAGCTCATGCAGTAAATATAGTGTACGGACACGTAACACAAATACATCAAATAGAAAAAAATGAAAAAATACAGTTCATAGCTATAAAGTTTGTACACTCCTCCAGCTATCATACTGCACTTTGAAGCTATTAACTGAAGTAGCACCAATCACACTTTCAGGTAAACTATTCCAGGTGTGGAGTATGCGGTTGGGAAGAAACCACTGTCGGACTGTTGTTTTAAATGGCTCCTTATGCAGTTTGAAGCTGTGTCCGCGTAGATTGCTGCGCGACAGATGGTATAGATGCATGAGGTTGGTGCCTATCAAACCATGAAGTATCCTGAACGTAACTATAAGATCGCCACGAAGTCTTCGCTCAGAGAATGAGGTCAGGTTGAATAATTCAAGGCGATCTTCATAGCTTGGTCTTCGTGCTCCAAAAGGGATACGAGTAGCCCGACGCTGTACTGATTCGACGAGATTTCTATCGCGCAGAAGCACAGTGTCCCATACCGGGCCAGCGAATTCAAGAATTGGCCTCACGAATGCCTTGTAAATGTAGGCGCAAGTGTTGACATCGGATCCTTTGAAAGACCTCTCCAGCATGTATAGAAGTTTATTGGCTTTTGATGTAACGTGGTGAATATGCTCTGACCAGGAAAGACGATCGTTGACTACAACGCCCAGATCAGTGTGGCTCGAAACTGCTTCGATGTTGTGGTCAGAGATCTTGTATGTAAATCGCGGATTTGTCTTCCCGAGGTGAAGGTCACAACACTTAGTTAGATTTAAGGGTAAAAGCCAACTGACTGACCATTGACAAACAATATCAAGATCTCGTTGAAGCATAGCAGAATTTAGGACAGTATTGTAAATCTTGGTGTCGTCGGCATAAACTGAACAAGTGGAGGAAATCAATGCGGGCAGGTCACTTGTATACAGAAGGAACAGCACTGGCCCCAAGACAGAGCCTTGAGGAACTCCACTTGCTACATGATGAAGGTGAGACTGGCTATCACTGACGCGCACAGATAAAGTCCTCCCGGTGAGAAAAGCCTTAATCCACAGTAACAACTCGCCTCTTATTCCCATACATTCCAACTTAAACAGAAGCCTTCTATGTGGTACGCGATCGAAAGCCCTAGAAAAATCTAAGTAGATTATATCAACAGGAGTCTTTGTGTCCAGATACTGAGTCCAATCGTTGAGAGAGTGGAGAAGGTTGGTCATTATTGATCGACCAGGGAGAAATCCATGCTGATTCTTAGGGATAAGGTCATTTTCGAAAGCAAATGACTGGAGCTTATCTAATATGATTCTTTCAGCTATTTTGGCGGCGATAGGAACGAGACTTATTGGTCGATAATTTTTAGCGGAGGATTTGTCGCCCTTTTTGAATACAGGGGTAACAGAAGCACTAAGCCAGCATGAGGGTAGGGTATGAGATCTAAAAGACGATGTGAATGTCAAGCTTAATGGTAGTGCCAGTGCTGAAGCGCAGTTTTTAAGTACAGCAGCCGTCATCCCATCTTTACCAGGGGAGGAAGAGGTCTTCAGATTTCGCAGGTGCATTAATACATCTTCAGGCAGGAACTCAACTTCGCAAAGGCTGTTGGGACACCTATGGCAGATAGTGGTCGGTAGAAGGTCTCCATTAGGCTCATCGACGAAGTCATCACTAAAGGACTCTGCCAGTAAGTTGGCAGATTCGGTGGCATCCATGTGGAGATGACCGTCAGCGTCGTGGATCTGAGGTGATGAAACTTTGGAATTCAGGTTTGTTCTTAGATACCGAAACAGCTTCTTCTTATTTTTGGAGGTAACGAGTTTTCGTTCATAAGCATGTTTGGCATTATGTAACGTTCTAGATAGGAGGTTAGAAAAGGATCGATGAGACACGTAATCTTGTGAATGGCCACTCCTCCTAAACCGTTGCCACAAAGATCTCTTGTGACGAAGCATCCTCGATATGTTAGAGTTGATCCAGGGCTTTGAGGGGTCACAGTATACCTTCTTTTCAACAGTATTGTCAGCCGTTTCGCTTAGGACTCGTTGAGCGAAAGTGTCCCACATATCTTGGTGGTTTCTATTTTCAATCTCTAGGTTTTTTTTTGTTTGACTAGCCAGTATTATTTTATTCAGTTTCAACAATGTTTAAAAAGAGGAAAATAAGTTATTTGTGGAATTTTTATCCGAAATCGACGAAAATTTCGCAAAATGTAATATGTGTGCAGCCAAAATATCATATAAGACTAGTACAAAGAATCTGAGAAGACACATGGAGTCTAAACACCCAGCTGTAGCTGTAGCTGCAAATAAACCAACCTTGTTAAGTTCTTGAAAAGAAATGTTTGCAGTTTAACATATTACCTGTTGGGTTTAGTTTTTGCATTCTTCTAATTTAAATTATAATTATAAGAGACATTTGTTTTCATTTTTAATAAAATCTAAAAATTTGGAATTATAAGATTTAATAAAAGGTATTATCATTTCTCCTAATCTTTATAACACACATACAATGTTATTTCATTTTTTATGATAACAGTTGTTAACACATAACACATAAATATGACCAATTTAATGTAATTAACATTTTATAGAAGGGAAATAATGAAATAACACAGTCCCACAATTTCAAATCCCAATCACATGTTGCACTCGCAGTGAGTGGTAAATCGCAATCGCAGTTTTAACTGCAATCACAAAATCGCAACTTTGATCATCTCTATGCTGGTCTAGGGTCTTAAGCCGATTATGTGAAAATCTGGGAAAACATCTTTCAGTGGAGGCCTTCTCCAAAAATATCAATCGTGGATCGTGGTGAACATCTATCATATAAAAGTAAGCAAACTTACCTTTATGTCATAAACATGCTCCGCTTCCGTCCGTATGACCACAGACAGCCAACCACGGACAGCTGTTTCGTGCTTTTTAGCTGCTCATCAGCATGGTTAAGGCTTGGGTCTCTCGGACAACGAACGAAAGCGTGGCAGTTATACACTATCCAAAGTGTGTGACCTATCGTAATAAGACAGCGCGAAGCGCCATCTACCGTTTGAATCGACCTCTGTGGAACTTACCTTTGAATGAGTGGCATCAGACTGTGCCAGTTGGTCGTGCCGTTGTGCCACCACGCAGGATATTTTTATGTAGACGTACAACATTACCACCATTGGTATGAAAAAAGAACCCATCGCTGAATAGATGACGTAGCCGGTATTCTTGTTGTATCTGCAGGTTTTGTTCGCATGTTTGCCTGGTTCGTACCTGTAACAACAAATACCAAATTCGATAATTTCATAGAGTACTGATGCAGATTGAGCAAAAATAATGTGGAGTCGAAACATTCTTTTCCCCCAACCCCAATTGTCGAGAACGTATTTTGATCGCGAAATAATTCAAAAGCGAGGTACTATACAGGGTGTCCGAAAAGTTGGGGTTTTCCTTTACACGACGTGTAGATCTTGAAAACATAAGCAATTTTTCTTAGTACCATATACACCAATGTCTTAAGGGAACCGAGATAAAGGGCTCTGCAACATCAAAAATATCTGAATACCGTCCTGTAGCCGCGACATCACCGACTGGTACAAGGTCACTGACTCAACCCGATGACAGAACTGGGTCGGGGTCAGTGTGTCAGGTCAGTATGCAACCTTCAACCGACGGTTACGGTCACGCGTGTAGAGGTAATCGCGTAGACGAGAATCCCTCAACAAGCACTAGAGACGTGGCTAGAGAAGTGCAAGTATCAAGAACTAAAGTGTGGCAAACGCTGCGTGAAGAGAGGCTGTATCCGTTTCACGTCCAACGTGTACAAGCCCTTCAACCTGACGATTTTCTAGCAAGAGTGCGGTTTTGTGAGTGGTTGTTGCATCAACATGACAATAATCCGGACTTTTTGAAGTGCATATTGGTGACAGACGAATCTACGTTCACGAGTAATGGGGTGAATAACTTTCGCAACACTCATGTTTGGTCAGTAGAAAATCCGCACGCTGTCCGTCGGGCACATTTTCAACAAACATTTTCGGTGAATGTTTGGGCTGGCATGGTGAACGGTATGCTCATTGGACCATTTATTCTCCCAAATCGATTGGACGTGTTGCAATACCTAGACTTTTTACGCAACATTTTGCCGTCCTTGTTAGAAGATGTGCCACTAAGTGTAAGACAATCAATGTGGTTTCTGCGTCTGCTCGGTAGCGCATCGGTTGATTTCATTTTCTGTTGGAGTGGTATGATTTCGGGCAGAGACGTACTTAGCCCTTCTCGTCAACTGGAGAGTGAGTACTTTTTCCTTTATTTTTTTTACTTGGTCGCCCTCGTTTCACTACACATTACCTTTGTTATTTCAAGGGTAGTTGTTTCTGAAAAGGAAAACCCCAACTTTGCGGACACCCTGTATTTTTGAATGTTAAATGACAGGGACATCCTGAAAAACTATCCCATTTCCGTCTGTTTGTCTACCTGTCTGTCGGTCTGTCTCTCCGTTAATCCTTTGCCTATAACTTGAAAAATACCATATAATATACAGTGACATATAAAATGCAACACCCAGTATTATTTATCGAATTTTGATAAAAACTTGTAAACATATTTGCTATCATAGCAATCCGAGCCGTACTTTTTCTGTAAAGACTTTTCTGTCATATCAGGATCCGAACAATATGAATATGTTTACTCAACATTCAGGGATTTTTCTGTGTTGATTCCATTTGTTTCATTGTTGTTTCATTGCATTATCATGCCTGGAGTTTGCAGGCGCGCTAATTTCACTCAACTTTCCGAGTTTGAGATCGGTCGTATAATCTGGTTACGTGAAGCCGGATCTGCTTTTAGAGGAATCGCTAATCGGGTGAATCGAAACGAAGCTACTGTAATGAGATGTTGTCGAGCGTGGCTCCAAGAAGGCCGAAATCGACGAGTTAGAGGTATCGGACGTCAAAGACAGACTACAGAGCGACAGGATCGTTATTTGAGACAACTAGCACTTAGAGATCGAAGTGCAACAACCATGAGGACAGTTTATCGCCTAATAAGGTTTTTCTCCGTGTTTTCCTCGCTTCAATTTAGCATGTCATACCAAGTTCTGGCCAATGGTGGTTCCAATGCATTGCTCCACGTTTGAACGCGCCATTATTCCAGATTCCTCTGGTCTATAGGAGCTTATTGTTAGTGCGTTGGCTACAAACATACGCATACGGTAGTATAAAGGGTGACAGGTAAATAGGTGTAAAACATTTGCTATCAAAATTAGTATATAATACCATAACCTATATTCAAAGGTTAAAAAGTTATGGAAGATGTAAAAAACAACCCAGATTACAGAGTAAAATAGTTGAGATAAAAAAGGGTTGGTGATTAAACATTCTTTTTTTGGTGGTTTCAGGTTATTATTTAAATAAATAATTCTCATAAATTAAAAAACATATGAAAACACTACTGAAAACGTATTTATTTCCATTAAAATGTTGAATCAAAATTTTATTTTCAACTTTCACATTAAGAAGTCTTTATTTTTCAAAAAAATCATAATAAAGAAAATGTACAAATAACTGCAAAAACTTCCTCGTTTCATTAGGTTTCTAAAATGGTATAATAACATATCAGTAAGTAAACCATTTAACAAAACAATATTACTTTGCTAGAAAGGACCGCTAAGCGCATTTCATTGTACTGAGCAGGTAAACCAAGCCTTTCATGGTTCGACCCTTGTTGTATTTTTTGTGCCCTGTGCCGTTATTCGGGTTTAAGTATTCGGAATCTGTCGTCGCTCCTCGGAAGCAAGCTCTGCGTGTGTTATGAATTGACACAGCTGACGGATCAAGGAAAGAGAACTAACGCTTAGGTTAGTTAGTAGAATATCAACCTTTAACGCGGTAGGACGTACTTTTACTTTTTTGATCAGTTTTAATAATGGCGCGTTACCGTAACGAAGAATACGCTGATATTCTGTTTTGTTATGGTTTAAGTGATGGAAATTCCGTTGAAGCCAGGCGAGAATACGAAAACCGTTTTCCGAATCGGCGAATACCGAGTCATCGAGTATTTGCTTCCGTGTACCAACGCGTCAAGGAAAGTAGACAGGTTCATGAGAGATGTCATGATGCTGGTAGACCTCGGTGGTTTGACGACGAAGATCGAGAGGCAATACTGGAATGCTACGGCAGAGACCCGACGACGTCTATACGAGTTATAGCAAAGCAGCTTGGTTTAACTCAATGGAAAGTTTGGTTCGTTTTGCATTCGGCGAGACTTTACCCTTTCCATTACACACCGGTTCAAATATAAGAAGAAGGAGATCCCGCAAGAAGAATTGATTTTTGTCGATACATGCTTCATCGGGATCAAGAAGAAAACGACTATTTAACTAAAATATTGTGGACCGACGACATAGAGGGGACAACAAATTATCACAACTTACATTATTGGGCCCCACGAGAGGCAAATCCCCACATGGCAAAGCCAAGAGCCCATCAAAGAAGATTTTCGGCAAACGTGTGGATGGGAATCATTCATACGTATCTAATTGGACCAGTTTTTTTGCCTGACAACCTGAATGGCGAATCATATGAAAACTTTTTGAGATCCGAACTCTGGGAGTATCTCGAAGACCTGCCTCTGAATATCAGGATGCAGATGATCTACCAACACGATGGCTGTCCCGTCTGGGTGTTAGACAGTGGCTGGACGAGAAATATCGTTGTCGCTGGATTGGCCCAGGTTGACCGACACCGTGGCCAGCGAGGAGCCCAGATTTAACACCACTATTATTTATGGGGGCACATGAAGTCACTGGTGTACGCTGAGCCCATAGACACTCCTGCACAGTTGAAAGAAAGAATTATTGCTGCTGCTGACACTATCAGAGGACAACTAACTGGCCGCATCACGCGTACCAACATGAGAAAAAGACTACGGGCTTGCATAAGAAACGGCGGGCGTCAGTTCGAACAACAATTGCAATGCATTTTACCTTCAGTTCATTATTGTATTTTACTTACCAATTGTAGTAACTTTTAGTCAGTTTTTATTATTCTGTAGTACAATTACAACTGTGTAAATAATCTAATCGTGTAACTTAACCGTAGTTTAAAATAATAACTATCCCATAGCTTACAGTTACATTATTTTCACAAAAACACTTTCTTATCAATCAGAGAGTTGTGAAAATAGGAGACAAGCCATTGGTAAATTTACTCCCTATTGTTGTATTACAATACATTATGTTTAGTTTCACACAGTTTTTGTGCACTTATCATACCAATTTAGATTCCTTATGAAACAAGGATATTATTTAAATTGTTTGTACGTTTTTTGTATACTGATTTTTTTTGTAAAACACCTTACTTACTGTAAAACGTTATTCGTTTTTCTTAGTTAAACATTTCTGAATGAAAATAAATATGTTGTTTGGTATTGTTTTCGAATCTTTTTTAATTTATAATAGTTAATTATTGAAATAATAACCCAAAACCACAAAAAACAAATGTTTAATCGCCAACCTTTTTCTCTCTCGACTTTTTTACTCTGAAATATGGATTGTTTTTAAAAAAATCTTAAATCTTCAATAACTGTTCAACCTTTGAATATAGGGTATGGTATTATATACTAATTTCGATAGCAAAGGGGCTGTACTAACACCTAAAATGTTTTACACCTATTTTCCTGTCACCCTGTATAGACACATTCGAAATCATCGTGGAGTTACTTAACGGGGCTCTGTTTACAACTCGTTTAACAATATTATTTTAGCATTTCACTTGTATGGCTTATCAAATCAAACGTTCTTCCGTACTTTAGAAAACGCATATTATCGACGTGTATTGCGCAACATATCAAGCAAACTCAATCTGCACGTGCCGTGTTTCCAGGATTTCGAGATCAAATGAGAGCAAGGGAGGGAGAGAGGGAAATCTATCATCAAGATCTCTCTTCCTTTCGTATATCAAATCAAAGTGTACAGAATGAGTAAAGTAAAATCACTCGCAGAAAAGCCTTTTCACTTTCATAAATATTCCTGTCTGTAGCATATTTTCTCACCTGTTCCATCACTATCATCTCTCTTATTTTTGAAATTCAGCAAATTTGCATATGTAATTTTCAGAATGAATAAGAGACACTGGTATTTAGCTCTAAATCTCAAGTAAATGTATTTGAGACAAGAATCTAATCGAATTATCATCAACACATTACACTGGACAACAAATTTTAGTTTTTTAATTGTATCTTGTGGGAAAAGTGCACTTCTTTGTTAATTTTGGGGCGCTGAATCCAAAAATGACAATGAGTCAGTCAATAGTTGCGGTTTAGAAAAACAACTTTTTATTTTTAAGGATATATTAAAAAAAGTAACAGGATTCATATACTTATAAGAATCACTATATGCGCTGTCTTTTTGCTGTTCTTTTATGGATCGTTTCTGGAGCATCTCCACCAAGAGTCCAACAGTAGTCTGCAAGCATGGAAGGATTCCACTTTCCCTGGTACCTTTTTTCCATTGTTGAAATATCCTGATGAAAACGTTCGCCGTGCTCATCACTTACGGCTCCGCAATTGTCAGGAAAAAAGTCCAGGTGTGAGTGTAGGAAATGTATCTTAAGAGACATATTACAGCCCATCTTTTGATACGATGACAGCATATTTTTGACAAGGGTTTTATAGTTGTCAGCTTTTCTATTTCCCAAGAAATTAGTGACCACCAGACGGAAATCATTCCAAGCAGTTTTTTCAATACCTGTTAAAGTGTTTTCAAACTGTGTATCTTTCAAAATATTTCGAATCTGTGGCCCAACAAAAATACCTTCTTTAACCTTTGCCTCACTTAGTCTTGGAAATTTCTGACGCAGGTATTGAAAAGCTGACCCATCTCTATCTAATGCCTTGACAAAGTTTTTCATTAAGCCCAACTTGATATGCAGTGGTGGTAATAAAATTTTTTTCGAATCTACTAATGGCATATGCTGTACATTTTTTTGACCTGACTCTAGGAATTGACGAACAGGCCAGTTTTGTCTGGTGTAATGAAGTGCCTTTGCCCGACTGTCCCATTCACACAAAAAACAGCAAAACTCTGTGTAGCCTAGCTGCAGCCCAAGTAAAAGTGCAACAACTTTCAAATCGCCACAAATATGCCATTGGTGCTCATCGTATTTTGTGCATGTCAATAGGTACTTCATATTGTCATATGATTCTTTCATGTGAACTGCATACCCTACAGGAAGAGATGGTAAAATATTTCCAATATGCAATAACACTGCCTTTAAACTCAATGTTGAACTGTCTATAAACAATCTCCATTCTTCTGGGTTATAGTTTATATTTAAAGCCGCCAGTAAGCCGTTAGTGTTACTGCAGAAAACCAAGTTATTCTCCATATTGAAAAATGGTTCTAAGTCTTTGTGGCGTTTACGAAAAACGCATACCGAAGCATCGTCTTCTAACAAGTTCCACTGCTGCAGTCTTGATCCAAGTAACTCTGCCTTACATTTTGGAAGTTCTAAATCTCTTACAAGATCATTTAATTGTGACTGTGTTATTTTGTGCGGTTGGTGGCATGACGTGCTCGGTATAAAATCGGGATCTCTTGACGTTGATGGCATATCTTCTTCCTGACGAATCACTCGATCGCCATGATCTGATTCGTTTTCTGATTCGCAAGTGTAGGATTCTGGGGGTTTTGGAATAGGATTTTCGTCGCTGTGAGGCACAGGCCTCATCGCAGATGGTATGTTTGGGTAGTTAATAACCGATTTTTTTTCTTGGACATACCTGTGGCTTGTCCAACACAAGGTACCATGCAAAATTAACAATTATTAATATGATTTGTAGGCTCTCTCCAAACCATTGGGACAGCAAAGCGCATAGACCGTTTTTTGCCATTTAACCAGCTCCTCAGACGCACATGTATTACAGCAGATGTGGGGTGCCCACTGTTTGTCTTGATCACCTAGTTTACAACCGAAATAAAGCTGATATGCCTTTGTTATTAGTGGAGTAATAGACCGTCTCTGAGACGCAAAAGTCACATCACCACACACGTAACAAAACTGATCTGGATTGTTTACACACTTTCGAGACATCTTGCATGAACGCTGTCAGCCAACTGAGGAAAAAGTGGCTAATATAAAACAATATAATGTACACCTATGTATAACGTAACACAATCATGCCGATTACATCCTTGCCGAATATAAAAATGTAGCACGTGCATTCTTGTGAATTACAGTATATTAACACTGTCACAACAGGAACACATATAATTACCGTATCTCTAAAACTTGAACTAATATTGAAAAAATAAGTTTCATTCCGGTTTTAGAACATTAAAAATAGTAATATTTTGTTGATTTTATTTAGGATATTTTTTGGCTGTTGATCAGTGATTATTAGCATACAAATCCTCACTATGCACCTATGCATTGCCGTTTCCTTCTAGCTATAGTATACAACTTACAGCTTAGACCTCCAGTAATGCCATCTCTGAAGCAGATTTTACATCACATCAGAGCCAAACATTGATAACTAAAGCCTCATGACGTTTAGGCAACACAAACAACTACAAAGCGAGTTCACAACCAGTGTCCATCAGCTATTGCTAAGTTAACATCTAGAAAAACCTACATAATGCCAAAAAAAAAAACGATACAATGTCACGTTTCAAGATACATAACACCCGTACGGGTGTAAATGCGGTAGAGTTCAGGGTTGTTGTTCACATATGTAAAGTTTGTAAATATTCGAGGTACACATAAAATATTTATTAGAACTTTATTATAGTTCACCAATCACTGGCGCTCCCACGGGGTGGGCGGGGGGTGGGGGTGAAGGGGGTAATTACCTCCCCCCGCCAGACGACTCGAGCAGTCTTTGAAAAGGTGGTATAAAGTAAACGTCTCATAAAAAAATCTGTAACTTTAAGAAAGGACAGCGGCAACACTGCCAACCCGCTCATTGCGCATGCAGCTAGCTACTACTCGCCCACCAACAGCAACGGTGTGCGCTTGTTTCTGTTCGAACAGGTATAGTCTAATCTTTTATGGTCTAGTCTAGTATCTAAATTCTGTACCAGTCCGCAACAAAATTTGGCTGAGAAGTGAACAAGCGGAGCTTTGTTGATCTGGTTGGTATATATATCTGACCCTCTTCTTAATATCCTAAATACATCTCTCAGTGAAGGAGAATTCCCAGAAGCATTAAAAATTGCACTCGTATTACCAATCTATAACAAAGGCGATCCTGATGATATGGACAACTACCGTGCTATTAGCTTACTGATAAATTTTTCAAAAATCTTTGAAATTGCTTATAGCAACCGTTTTATTGTTTTTTTTTCCACTCAAATAAATACTTCACCCATAACGAACATGGCTTCATGAAAGGTAGAGGTGTGAACACGGCACTGTTCGATTTCATCACAGCAATCCATGAATATCGAGAGAATCAAGGAGCAGCATGTGGTTTATTTGTGGACCTGTCAAAAGCATTTGATTGCATTGATCACGAAATATTGCTAAACAAATTATATAAATATGGTATACGCGGGAATGCGTACTACTGGCTTAAATCTTATCTCCGTAATAGAAGACAGAAAGTAATTTTGAACAAAACCGGGAAACGAATAACATCTAGTAGTAGTAGTAGAGCTAAGAGAGTTCCACAGCGGAAGTGAGATAAAACAGCCGATGGACGGTTGCAGGTTCGCGTTATCAGCGCGACGACGTTCCCATGCGGATGTGTGTCCGATAAGGTGAGGTGTAGTGTATACAGGGAGAGTCAAGAAGGTTGTATACAGGGTGAGTCAAAAGGTTGGGAGCGTTAAAAAAAAAAGATGGCGGTGTATGGACGACGTTCCCATGCGGATGTGTGTCTGATAAGGTGAGGTGTAGTGTATACAGGGAGAGTCAAGAAGGTTGTATACAGGGTGAGTCAAAAGGTTGGGAGCGTTAAAAAAAAAAAAGATGGCGGTGTATGGACGACGGTTGCAGGTTCGCGCGTTATCGGCGCGACGGCGTTCGCATGCGGATGTGTGGCCGACGATATTTTTGCATTACATTTTATTGCTCTCCAGACATGTGTAAGGACTTTTGAGTACAAACATGAAACAATTATTACTATTTCATAATTTTTTAACCATCTTATTTTATGGTTTATCTAAATTTTAAACTCGGTTTTATCACTTAGTGTTTTACGTTTGTCTTATTTTCGTACTGTTTGTTGTTTTTACTTACTCTTTTATGTTCTACTCTAACTGACCTGTGCAAACACATTTTTATGTAATAGTACCAATAAATTATTATTATTATTAATAGTTCCCTAGAGCCTAGAACCAACTTAATTAGGTGTGGCAAGTAAAAATGAGACATGAAGTTTGCACAGCTATTGTATAACTTTCATCATAGTTTTTATTTTACTTATACGTGTAAGTGAAATTGTATAAACAGAACACATACTGACTTACCATCCGAATATCGGAGGACAGGATATAAGCATGGAGCTAACCCAAACAACGAGGATCATGCCGAATGCGAGCCTCTTGGATCTCCTGTTTCTGGAGTACCGTAGGGGCTGCGTGACGGCCAAATACCGATCGATGCTGATCGCGCACAGGCTTAGAATCGAAGCTGTACATAACAGGATGTCCAGAGAGACCCATATGTCGCAAAGAATCCAGCCGAGCTCCCATGTTCCTGCAACAAAAAGCAGCGATGTAAAAATGAAAATTTCTCTTGAGTATCTGTTTCCAAGAAGCACCTGTTCTACAAGTTCTACAGAAACAAAGAATATACAGGGTGTTTCAGTTTATTGTTGCATAACTTTAAGATTCGATAGAACTTTTAAAATTAATGCATAAAGTCTAGATAAACATGGGTCGAAAAATGCGTGGCTTCCGAAATACAGGGTGTTTAAATTTACTTTCTAAAATAGTTTTTTTTTTAATATTTCGAACAATATATGATGTATAACAGTGAAAATTGGTATACAAGGGTTTTTTGGTACGACAAAACGAACCATGGGCATAGTTTTACTGTAGCTGCTAGAGGGCGCTCTCTACTGTACCTGTAGTGTATTAAAATGACCGAAAAATTTTTCTTAGTGCAATTTTTTGCTTTTTGAATAAAAAACTGATTCTTCTCACTTTTCAACATAAAAAAGCTCTCTTGTGAGTTTTCGTTATAGTTAGCCGCTTTTGAGATATTTCGATTTTTAAGGTTCGATGCATTCTTAATTATTTATGGGAAAATAATATTTTTTTTTTACATTTTCGATTTGGCCATTACAAGTAATTAAGATGATCGTTTAGATTGTCTTTTTAAACACAGCAATAATTCCTAACTCCAAATAAACACAAAAAACAGAATATTAATTTGTTTAATTTTCCAATATTATTTTTAACAAATTAAATTAATTATTTACAACTAAAATGCTTTTGCATAGTTAGGACAAACATACAAAATCTAAAGTAGTTGCTCGAAATGTAAACCCAATTGTTCAATACACAATTCACATCTACGAATGATCGAACGTGGTATAGCATTATTCAAATAAGGCCTTATTTCATCACATGCATTCCTGATTCTGTCTATTAGCATATCTCTTGTGGTTACGGGAGTCTGGTACACTTTTTCTTTTAGAAATCCCCACACAAAGAAATCTAATGGATTTTGGTCAGGGGATCGTGGAGGCCAGGCGACTGGTCCTCCACGGCCGATCCATCTTTCTGAATAAGCCAGTTTCTAACTACTCGCGAATAATGAGCTGAACAACCATCAAGCTGGAACCAGGCCAATCTTCTTAAATCCAACATAACATCATCCCACATATTTGCATGTTCAGCCTTTAAAAATTCGGTCGCAGCATTTAACCTTGCAGGCAAAAGGTAGGGTCCAAATAGTCGATTACGGTAGATACCAATCCACACGTTCACACTAAATTCATGCTGACAATATCTTCTTCTTTCCCGAACTGCATGCGGATTATCATGCGACCAAATATTTTGATTATGAAAATTTACCACTCCACGTCTAGTGAAGCATGACTCATCGGTCCATAAAACGTTACTTAAAAACTCCCTATTATTATCAGTTCTATCAAGAATCCACTGACAAAATGTGATTCTTCGTTCTTCGTCCCCTGGCTGTAGTTCTTGCACAGGTTGCAAATGGTAAGGTATGGTCATTTCTAAGAACACGGTGAACATGGTTTAATGAAATTTCCAAGGCACCAGAAACTCTCCTAACACTTGTGGTCGGATCTCTATCAAACTCACGCAGAATCATACGGGTAAAACTGCGCTGACGAACATTTATGTTTTGATCCCTTTGGAGATTTCCAAAACCATTTTCAATTATTTGGCGATGCACTCTTACAAATACTGAGCGAGTTAGATGTCGTCTGTTTGGAAATCTTCGTGCGTATTCTCTGGCTGCTTCTGCTGCGTTTCCCTTTACAAAGCCATACACAAAATGAATATCCGCTAACTCTTGATTGGAGAATAAAAATGGTATTTTTATAAAACTTACAAAAAAAAACAGGTTAAAAAACGTTTCAGGTTTCAACAGACAACAAAACTAACTATCAACTAATTGACGTTTAACCTTATTATGCTTTCAATTTCAAAAATATTTGCAGGCACAGCCTACTTCTAAAAATTATCGAGATACTGACCTTTTAACATTATTTTATCATAAATAATTAAAAATGCATCGAACCTTAAAAATCGAAATATCTCAAAAACGGCTAACTACAACGAAAATTCACAAGAGAGCTTTTTTATGGTGAAAAGTGCAAAGAATCAGTTTTTTTATTCAAAAAGCAAAAAATTGCACTAAGAAAAAGAAAAAATTTAGCGGCTACAGTAAAACTATGCCCATGGTTCGTTTTGTCGTACCAACCCTTGTATACCAATTTTCACTGTTATACATCAAATATTGTTCGAAATATTTAAAAAAAACTATTTTATAAAGTAAATTTAAACACCCTGTATTTCGGAAGCCACGCATTTTTTGACCCATGTTTATATAGATGGAAAATGTATCAATAATCTGTTTCCGTGTCAACCTTGTTAGTTACTACGGTCACACCAAAATAACGAATCAATCAAGAGCAATTATAGACGTGATATTAACGAACGAACAAAATTTAATTGCAAAAGTTATGCGTACTCCTAAAGTCAGAGGCAATTCATGGATATGTTTTGAAGTTGAAAGTACAGGGTGACTTGTAATGTCACGTATTCGTGTTAAGGGCTGATAGATTAGGTCAAAAGGAACCGATTTTGTCCTATCCAGAAGTTAACCGTTTTTGAGTTATTTGAATTTTATTTTTTTTATTTTTTATCCCGATTTCAGACGGTTAAATTTGAAATACAAAAAAACTACATGTTTGATTTTGAGTTTTTTGTTATCGTCGCATAGCGGACATTCCAATAGTTCATAATAAGTAATGAAATGTTGAAAAGTTACAAAAGTTTTAAAATTCCACTTTTGAAATGTATTTTTTAACTAACTTATTCCATAAAAATACAATTTTCTGTAAAAAATCTCCTAGTAATAAAATGTGCAAATTATGTAAATATATATATAATAATATCTCTAACAAGCTTTCATTTGAGGTATAAAAGTTACAACTAACTCAAGTGCAAAGACATAAAATTAAAAAAAGATGAGTCAAGTTGTACGAACGATAATTACGTAGGATAAATAAAAGGCTTTTATTTGAATTACAGTTTTATTTAATTACATTTCCTTTAGTATTTTCCAGATTCTGCTCAAATTGTAATCCCCTGTTACGAATACAGGCCCGCATTCTCTTACGTAATTCACTTTTGGTAACTCTAGTTGTTAAGCGGCTTTTTATTTGGTCAGCTGCTCCTTGTAATTAATTCATCGCGCGTTGGTACGGGCGAAACATCGTACACCAGGCTTTTCATGTCCCCACACATAGTAATCCATCGGTGTGAGATCTGGGCTTCTTGCTGGCCAGGCAATGGACCCGCCTCTGCCAATCCATTGATTTGGAAATTAGAGTCTAAATACGCCCGTACTAATCTACTGTAGTGTGCGGGACAGCCGTCGTGCTGGAACCGCATATTTTGTCTCGTCGCCAATGGGACGTCTTCCATCAATGGAAACAAGTGATTTTTCAAGAACTCTTCATAGACTTCTTCATTTAAATTCGCGGGCAGAAAATGAGGTCCAATTAAATATCCATCAATGATGCCCATCCACACATTGACTGAAAACCGGCTCTGAGACCCCGTCGGTTTTATTTTTCGGGGGTTTAAAGCTTCTTTATCAGTCCAGTAATGAGCATTATGGTAGTTAGTGATCCCGTCCTTACCAAACTTCGATTCATCGGTCCACAGAATTTTCTTAAAATAGTCCGGATCTTCTGTATCTGCATGTAACATGTACCTGCAGAAATCTAATCGTCTTGCAGGATCGCCCTCTTCAATCACATGCACAGGCGTGTAGTGATAAGGGTATAATCTTGCAGTATGCACAGCAAACCATACTTTGTATTGTGATATACCCAACTGAGCAGCCACAATGCGCGTAGACGTAGTAGGGTCTTCCTGAAACACACGAAGGATTTCCTCTTCATCTTCAGGAGGATAGACTCAGGGTCGACCAGCATTACTATGTTGCCTTTGAACACGTCCGGTTTGGCGGATGCGCCGATACACAGAGTCAAACACAGTAACATGAGATGTTCGGCGATTCGGGAAACGTTGCCGATATTCACGGCGGGCAGCTGCAGAATCGCCGTTACAAAGTCCATAACAGAACATTATGTCTGCGTATTCTTCATTTGTAAAAGTTTGCCAGGGCTCGCTATGGCGAGGTCCTGGCGGATCTTCTGCGTCTGCCATAATGATAAAGAAACTACTCGAAATGAACTGGGAAACTCGAAAATAATAATCGTGCGTAAAACGTGTGCGCGTACGCCGTAACTAAACCTAATTCTCACTCGGCGTGCGGCGATGGAGTATCTACAATGATGAACATTAACAGCTCTCTCTCTCTCTCTCTCTCACTCCTCCACTAAGTCAGCTCTTCTCGCTCGCTTCCTCGTCGAGCCGATGCCATAAAACAATCATGGCATGCGAGTCCTTTGAAGACAGTAACGACTTGTTCAAACAGGTAATACAAATTCCTTAAAAATCCAGCCTCTGTGGGTGTCATTGTTGTTTCTCTGCATAGACTTCAGATAATTGAACGCTTAATACCTCAAATAAAAGCTTGTTAGATAGAGATATTATTTACATAATTTGCACATTTCATTACTAGGAGGTTTTTTACAGAAAATTGCATTTTTTATCGAATAAGTTGGTAAAAAAAAAGAAGATGATACATTTTAAAAGCGTAATTTTAAAACGTTTGTAGCTTTTCAACATTTTATTACTCATTATGAACTATTGGAATGTCTTCTATGTGACGATAACAAAAAACTCAAAATCAAGCGTGCAGTTTTTTTGTATTTTTTGTATTTTAATTTTAACCATCTAAAATCTATCACCCCTTAACAGGAATACGTGACATTCCAAGTCACCCTGTATATTTGATGCTCACCAAGATATGACTGAAATGTGTGTTGATATTGATATATGCTATGCAAGCCTATTGGATAATGTTGATGTGTGCATGAAAGAAGACAACAATCTATAAAAGGAAAAATCCAACACCCGAAGTTCAACAATTCTAAATTAAAAAGAGACTACGATTATAACAAGTTTATGATTACTGGGAGTGAAAATGACTGGCTAGAATACCCAAAATTAAGAAACCAATCTGTAGCAGTTCTACGAGATGAAAAAAAAATATTACAATACCAAAATTGATGACAGAAAAATAATAGTAAACAGTAGTGGAAAAAATTGAAAAAAAATTGGTTCTCCTATTAGAAGAAATACATTATCTAAAATGAAGTTCGACAATGGGGTAATACCGAGTGAAAAAATAATAGCAGATCGGATGAATACATATTTCATAGAAAGTGTCAAGGATATTGTAAGATAATTATGGACGGGGATCGCGACCAATGTCCCATTAGATCAGATTCTAATGTATCATTCAGTGAGTTTAGAACAATAAACATTAATCATCTCAAGAAGATTATACCAAAATTGAAATTTTGTCTAAAAGGATACTTAATAAACGTTTTGATATTATTGGAACAAGAATATTAATCCTGATAAATTACTGTTTAAAATATGGCGAATTTCCAACAAAACTAAATTCTGAGTAGTAATTAGTTAATTACGAACATTTAGGAAGAAACACTCAAACACAACAAAACTGAAACGGCAATACAAATGGTTTTAGAGGACTGAAGGAGGTGTATGGACAATAGGAAATATACAGTCACAGTGTTTTTGGACTTTACTTTTGAAACTATTGACAGCGATATATTACTTACAAAGTTGCATCTCCATGGATTTAACTGATCTATATTTACAATTTCAGATTATTGTTCAATTCAGATATTTGCAGCTTATACTAATATACGAGTACATATCAGATGGAAATATAGACACTGCTTCAAAGATGCTAAATTCTGTCTTGTCAAAAATCATAAATTGGTTAAATGTAAATAAAGTAAATTTGAATGTTTCTAAAACAAAATGTATGCTAATAGGGAAATAACTAAATGAAAATACTATCACAGGATAAATGGTGAAACAATTGAAAGTGTTGAATCAATTAAATTAGGTTATATACCGATAGTAAACTAAAGCTGGAGGATCACTATGAATATTTATTTCAAAAGTTGCAAAAAAAAACAAATTACTCTTCTAGGGCTTCTTATAGTTTTGATACATATTAAAAAAAATATAGTCTTTAATACAATTTATTTACTATGTTGTTCATCTGCCTTGTTCACTGCCAATAAAGTTGTATTCTCCAAATTACAGCAAAATAAAACTATGAGAATATTGGATAAAAATATGCACACCAAAATAAAATCTCTGTTACAAGAATGGCAGTCGTTGAATATCGAGAAATTTATATCATATTTGGTTCTTACTTTTATATTTAAAATAAGAAAAACATCTTTTGCTACATCACTACATAGAAGTGAGTAATCATAACCTCAAGTATTATTCAAGGATTACTTGAATTTTCTAAACTAAACAATGATATAAAGTGTACTTGTAATTTGAAGATTTTCAAAAGAAAATTGAAGGAATATTCCATGGACAGTAAAAAATCTTAGAGATGCAAATTTTGTTTTTCTAGATATCTGTGTGCTATGTAATTGTTGTAGTTTTTCAAAAGAATGTAATTGTAGCAATCATGATAAGTAAATCTTAAAGAAACAAAATTGTTTAAATATTTGGTCAAGCGTCTGAAAAATGCGCCATTTTTGCAGATATGTAGATGAACCTTAGTTGTACAAAAACTTTATCATCGATTTTTGCTGACCTGACAGAAATTATATTTATACAGGGTATCTCAAAACGTGGTGATTTCTTGGGTAACTTCGTGAAAAAAAATCATATAAACGTGGGTTCGAAAATAATTCGCTTTGATGACACTTCATCTAAAAGTCATTTTTTCGTAAAAAGGCTTATTAATGTTTTGTTTGTATTGTTTAAGATTTGCTTAGCATGCCTGTTACAATTACATTCTTTTTACAAACTACAACAATTACACAACATACAAATATCTAGAAAAACAAAACTTGCATCTTTAAGAATTTCCACTGTCAATGAAATGTTTCTTTCTTTAGTTATATTACTATTGCAATTTTGTAAATGAAAATCTATATTTCCTTTTGCATAATAACTGAGGTAATCATTAGTCGGCTCTATGTATGAAAATAAGAATCAAATATGATATGATTTTTGTTATATTCAACCATTGAACCATTGTACCATATATTTTATTTTGGAGTAGATAAATTCCTTCAATATTACTCTCATAGCTTGATTTTGTAGGACCTGTAATTTTGAGAATACAGCTTCATTTGCAGTGAACAAGAATCCTTCAACATCTCTGAGAACAAAAAATTCCAACAATTTTTCTTTTAGAAATCGTTGTCCTGTCTGTAGCTTCTTTCATGTAAACTTCAACAGTATCCAATACGCTTGCATAGTAGCTATCAACCTTAATAAACATTTCAGTCATATCTTGTTGTAAACGGGCTTCTCATTATTTTACATAGTTAATATTAGTAATTTCTTCCACTATGTCAGTATCAAATATACTTTCAACTTCAAAACATATCCATGAATGATCACTGATTTTAGGAGTATGTATAACTTTTGCAATTAAATTTTGTGATGAGAGACTTAGGGACTTTCTTTAATCAGCATCAATGGAAGACACTAAGACTGACCTCAGAAAAAACGTCGATTTTTTGTTGCGAAGGTGATTAAGTAAAAAAAATAATACAACATTTTTTCAACAACACCATCGCTTTGGGCTAATCTACACATCTGCCGCCGTAAGATAATGTAGCTTCAGACATTGTCGGCTTTTCACCTCACAGGCGCTATTAAAATTACAGCCACCCCTTCTACTACGGCCTCGATTTCCAACAGCCTCATCACCATCGCTCTACTTTGAAAACATTCAAACTATGAGCAAGGGAAATGTTAACCTAATATATCCTACAAAATTTCGCTTCTCCTTTGCCTATCCCTTTATGCTCAAACAATCCACGATGTCTGAGAAGTTTCTGATTTAGGCCCGTGGGTAAAACCGAGCAAAAAATTGCGAATTAATTTGAAATATTTGCAATTAATTATTATCATGAGTGATAAGGTATATTTTTGATATACTAAGTGACATATAAATCCGAACACCCAGTTTAAATGGTTTTATTTTAATAAAAGTTGGTGAATGTATTTATCTTACTGTGAATAACAAGTGAAAAAATTTTCAGCCTTATCAGTTGGACATTCCGGTTTTTATACTGCTTTTTTTTTAATTCACTAACGCTCTAAAAATGAATATTTCAGCCGCAGTAAAGAATCAACGTTGGCGGATTTTGGTTCTTGACATCCTTTACGATCGGTTACGATGCCTAGAGTACGGAGACCTGTACGATTTCGTCAACATAGTGAGTTTGATAGGGGCCGTATAGTGGGACTTCGGGAAGCTGGACTTTCTTTTCGGGCAATTGCAGTTAGAGTGCAAATAAGTGTAGACCCTGTGGTTAGGTGTTGTCAGGCATGGTTTCGAGAAGGCCGTACGCAAAGAGCAAGGGGCACTGGACGCCGCCGTAGAACAACAGACCATGAAGATCGCCGCCTAAGATTATTGGCCTTAAGGGACCGTTTCTCCACTACCAGGTCCATTGCAAATGAATGGTTTGCAGAACACGGAAGACCTATTGGCATGCGAAGTGTTTACCGACGAATGAGAAGTTTTGGCTTGTTTTCATACCGGCCACACTGGGTCCTCCTTTAACTCGAGAACACCGACGTAATCGCCTTGAGTGGTGCAGACAACGGTCACTCTGGGATCAGGAATGGAACAGTATTGTCTTTAGTGACGAGTCTCGATTTTGTTTAGGCATGCACGATGGTCGTGCCAGGGTTAGAAGGCGACGTGGTGAAAGGAGGAATCCACAGTTTTTTGTTGAAAGACATGTTCATCACACTGTTGGAGTTATGGTTTGGGGTGCTATAGCTTATGGTTCCAGGTCACCTTTAATCTTCATCAGAGGTAACATGAACGCGCAGCGTTATATCCACGAAGTTCTAGAACCCCATCTTTTACCCTATCTTGACACCCTGGCAGATCCAACTTTCCAACATGATAATGCCCGACCACATGTTGCAAGAGTCACAATAGACTTCTTTCAACATAATGATGTCACATTGTTACCATGGCCACCAAGATCTCCCGACTTATCCCCAATTGAGCACGTGTGGGATATGATGGGTAGGAGATTGCTCAATTTGCAACGTCCTCCTCAGACTCTAGAAGCACTTCGAGAGGAGTTGGTGGTTGCCTGGAATGAGATACCACAGGAGGACATTGACCACCTGATCAGAAGCATGCCTAGGCGCGTTGGAGAATGCGTAGCACATCAGGGTGCATCCACACATTATTAAAGGTCAAAGGGCTTTAAAGCAGTGCAATCATTTTGAAATTTTTATCATTTACTTATTATGCTTCATTAAGTACTTATACAAAATTTTATTAAAATAAAACCATTTAAACTGGGTGTTCGGATTTATATGTCACTTAGTATATTTATATCACATACACACATATAGCAGGGTCTCCAAATTCAATCGCCTTTGAAAATGCGAGAATCTGAATTAACCTTAAGTTTCATTCCCCACCCCTACTGGCGAGGAAGTATTGTTATGACGAAAAAATTAAAAAATGACATATTGCCCATTTTCTGAAAAAAAAAAATGTATGGGTTAAAAATCGGGGGCGGGGCTTGCAGGAGGTGGGTGAAGGTATATCCCATTTTTTGCGGTAGTATATATATGGTCCAAAAATGTTTCATTCACACCCTTAAATATTCGCCTATCATTAAGGAACATCATGTATGAAAAAAAAAAAAAAGATTTACATGCTTTTGCATGCTGACTTACCCATAAGCGTATAAGCCACAGCCGGTGGCATAACGCAAATCCCCACCAACCAATCAGCCACCGCCAACGACATCACAAAACAATTCGTGACCGTCCTCAACCTCCTCGTCGTAATGACCGCCAGTATGACCAGCGTATTACCAAATATGACGATGACGATGACCACGCTGAGCAAGATGGCGAGCGCCACATGCTGCACGTGATTGGCTGGCAGCGGCAGCGAGGAGGCGGAGTCGTTAACGGCGAGGGCGCCGTCTGGCGGGGACGATGCGAAGTACAGGATGGCGTAAGCCGTCGAGTCGACCGAAGAGGCGGGGCTCGATAGCGGGAAGGCGGGGCTTGAAAGTGGAGGGGCGGTGCTTGGAGACGAGGTGGGCGTGACGCTGCTGTTGGAGCCGGTCGACATGCCGCACGGTCATTTCTGCAACAAATAACAAGATTAAAATATTTTTTGTGACATGGACAAAACAAGGTGCCGGAAGCAGTGTGTGAGGCCTTGTTGCCGTCTTCGGTAAAAAGTAAAGTTAACATCACCTTTTAATCTTGACGCTAAAAGTTCTGACTGGGATTTTGACAGATTTAATTCTCGAACGTAGTCATTAAGTTAGCCCAGTGTGATCAAATGCGGCGCTGTTGAACATCCTGGCAGGTCAAACGAAGGTTCGTAAATGTTTACGCTTCCTGTACCATCACTTTCAGAATCGGTGGATTCGACTTTTTCATCCAAAGACCAAGAGTCTGGTCGAACTGGGACAGAAAGGTCATCACTATGCTTAACGGGCCGCAAAGCTGATGGTGAATTAGAATACAGTATGTTTCGATTTTGGTCCAATACCTTTAATATTGGTAAGGCAAAAATAGCAATCAGTAGTAGTATGGTCTCTCGGTTCCTTCCAAAAAATTGGTTCCGCAAAGGGCATTTTACGATTGTCGCCCCATAACCAACCTGTTAATATTGTTACACAAGTCTTACAAGATATATCAGAGGCCCATAGTTTATCTTGGTCGCCAACTTTAATTCCAAAATAAAGTTGGTATGCTTTCAACAAAAGGGGAGTATAAGTACGTTTTTGGGATTTAAAAGTTAGCTCTCCGCACACATAACAAAAACTGTTCGCACTATTTACATAATTTCTAGGCATTGTCCATAATAATCACAATAAACTAAAAACAACACACTGTTTTAACAAGAATTAACAGTACCCTTCAACACAGAAAACGTAACTGACTCGGCTGCTATTAGTCTACTAATAAACGCAATATGATCTCTAAACATAGCGCTCGCATATAATAAACAGGAATAGACAGGTCTTAACATTGTATATGTGCGTCATCGTATAAACGCCGACAAATGCAGCATTATGAGATGTTACGTATTGTAATTCATAAAAGTGGATGTTACCGCATATCTGTGGGTGATAGAAAAATTCTGTTTTTTGATTTGATTTAAGGGCCTAAAAATACATGAGATACACCCAAAAATTGTCATGTCACAAATCATGTGATTATCAGTGATAATTGACAATTTTATTATTTTATTTATATAGTTCTTGTGAATAGAAACACGTTTGCGTGTGAGGGTTACTCCATAGTTTTAAAATAACCGTCTAATAAGATTTGAAAAAATCTACGATATTCATATTTTTATATCATTCATATTTCTCAATACATCCGATTACAGAGAAACACTATACATGATATGAAAAAGAAATAACACACAAACAAAAAATACCGTTTTAATTTTTTTCGGACTTAAAATATATCGGAAAACTAATGAAACTTTTTTATTTTTCACTTTTTAGGCACTACATGATGGCGTTTTTAAATTTTGTACATGACGTTTCGTTTTTGAGAAACCATCATCAACTTTATTTTTTATATGATCCGAAAAAAGTACACCCTGTATCTGATTGCAACTTTTCCTACGAATGCAACAATGTTTCACATGTAACATTAATTTGTTTACCTAGTTATAAAGAAAAATGTGTTTTTTTATTTTTTTCTTATTTTATTTAAGTAGGCGTTGCAAACAAATGCCTGATTGGACACAAATACCTGTCAGCCAGTATTACCATTGTGTATTGTTAATATTGGTTTATTATCGTCAAATATGCCAGCCGGTCATTTTATCAATGAAGAAAAGTTCGACCTGCTGACGTGATACATATTGTTGATACAAATATACTAAGAATACTGCAGACATGTATCTTGATAAATTTCCCGAAAGGAAGCAGCTGAGCAAATCCGTTTTCGCAGAGTTGGCTCGAAATTTCAGGGTTACGTCACTGAACAGTTACTAAATATAACAATATTTTTCTTTTAGATATACTTTGAAGTTGAGTCATTAATTTTCAGATAATGATTGTAGAAGGAAGATAAACCAAAATATGTGTGTAAAAATAAAAAAAAATTAAAAAAAATTACCTTGTTTTATAAAGTATCCTCCCGACAAGTATTTCAGTGCGGACCTGTATTTGATCGTGAGGTCTTGGAGCACCGGCATGCCGTCCCATGTGAGGTCTTAAGTCACCTGATTCACCGAGCCCGTTGCACTACATTAACAAAGGCACGAGGGGTTGGTTGCACTCGATTGGGAAACCGATCCGCATAAACATGTGCCATTTTTTATTTCGTTTGAGACACGCAGCAGACACCACTATTCACTCACGCGTTACCGACTGACACTGACTGTATACAACTGAATAAAATAATTGTAAAAACATCGTTCCAAATTCTTTCGCTTTTTTGTTTCCGATGCGATGAACTGATAAGGCGGATTATATCCGTTGTTGCCAAACACGAGCACATAATATTATTATTGAGACAGGGCGGTACTCAAACTTCCAAAGGGCTATAACTTTGTTACTTTAATTTTACCAGAAAAATGGTAAAGGAAAAAACATTTCTTTTGATCAGATCTACTCACTGTTAAAATAAATGACTCAACTTCGAAGTCACCCTGTATATATATATTTATATATATACAGGGTGTCCGCAAAGTTGGGGTTTTCCTTTACACGACGTGTAGATCTTGAAAACATAAGCAATTTTTCTTAGTACCATATACACCAATGTCTTAAGGGAACCGAGATAAAGGGCTCTGCAACATCAAAAATATCTGAATACCGTCCTGTAGCCGCGACCCGGGACATCACCGATTGGTACAAGGTCTCAACCCGACGGCAGAACTGGGTCGGGGTCAGTGTGTCAGGTCAGTATGCAACCTTCAACCGACGGTTACGGTCACGCATGTAGAGGTAATCGCGTAGACGAGAATCCCTAAACAAGCACTAGAGACGTGGCTAGAGAAGTGCAAGTATCAAAAACTAAAGTGTGGCCAACGCTGCGTGAAGAGGGGCTGTATCCGTTTCACGTCCAACGTGTACAAGCCCTTCAACCTGACGATTTTCCAGCAAGAGTGCGGTTTTGTGAGTGGTTGTTGCATCAATATGACAATAATCCGGACTTTTTGAAGTGCATTTTGGTGACAGACGAATCTACGTTCACGCGTAATGGGGTGAATAACTTTCGCAACACTAATGTTTGGTCAGTAGAAAATCCGCACGCTGTCCGTCGGGCACATTTTCAACAAACATTTTCGGTGAATGTTTGGGCTGGCATGGTGAACGGTATGCTCATTGGACCATTTATTCTCCCAAATCGATTGGACGGGATGCAATACCTAGACTTTTACGCAACATTTTGCCTTCCTTGTTAGAAGATGTGCCATTAATTGTAAGACAATCAATGTGGTTTCTGCGTCTGCTCGGTAGCGCTTCAGCCGATTTCATTTTCTGTTGGAGCGGTATAATTTCGGGCAGAGACGAACTTAGCCCTTCTCGTCAACTGGAGAGTGAGTACTTTTTCCTTTATTTTTTTTTACTTGGTCGCCCTCGTTTCACTACACATTACCTTTGTTATTTCAAGGGTAGTTGTTTCTGAAAAGGAAAATCCCAACTTTGCGGACAAACTTGGCAAACTTTAGGCTTAGTAAATTCTTTTGACGGTAATCTCGAGCTTTCGGCACGCTATGGTGCCATCATCAGGAGCTAAAACACAAATATGAAGCTAGCAACCAATACAGAAAAGATTTAAATTTTATACCTACTCGTCGCTGAGGTTGCACCCAAATGGCGTTTTAAAACGAAAGAGTGGAAGAGAACACTTGTTGCAAATGTAAAACCAAAGGACCGGACACACTGGGTTTGTTGCTAATGACGGAAACCATAGCTAGGTGTTACCACTATATATCAATCATCCCGAACAAGTTAAATATATGTTAACTCATATAAGAACCAACCAGATAGTTAACGTCAATTAAGCATTTCGATATTCTTTATGAAGCATAATATTTGTTAAGGCATTTGGAAGATTAAACATAGTGTAGCTCCTACTAGTTAACCTAGGCACAGTAAAATTTAAGTTGGACCAAATTTCAAAGTGATCTAAAATAACCTTCTCAAGATAGTTGAATAGAATTACTGGGGTTAGAAATGCATAAATACACCAAAGCCGGAAAATTGAGATATACTCTGACCCCCAATTGTTTACCCCTACAAACTTTCTTCCCAAAAATGATCAGGAGCCTGTGAAACATGAAACAACAAAGTTTGAGCGATTTTGTTTTTTTTGTTTTGTTCTCCTCGTTCAGCCTCCACAGGAACTATTTTCAAAAACTTCAAGGTTTTTTCGTCGTGTGAAAATTTTATCAAAAAACCCGCGGTACTTTCCAGCTTATACAGGGTAACTTTGAAGTTGAGTCATTAACTTTCAGATAATGATTGTAGAAGGAAGATAAACCAAAATATGTGTGTAAAAATAAAAAAAAACTAAAAAAATTTTTATACCTTGTTTTATAAAGTATCCTCCCGACAAGTATTTCAGTGCGGACCTGTATTTGATCGTTTGGTCTTGGAGCATCGGCATACCGTCCATATGTGAGGTCTTAAGTCACCTGATTCACGAACCCGTTGTACTACATTAACAAAGGCACGAGGGGTTGGTTGCACTCGATTGGGAAACCGATCCGCATAAACATGTGCGATTTTTTATTTCGTTTGAGCCACGCAACAGACACCACTATTCAAACGCGTTACCGACTGACACTGACTGTATACAACTTACTAAAATAATTGTAAAAACATCGTTCCAAATTCTTTCGCTTTTTTGTTTCCGATGCGATGAACCAAACACGAGCACATAATATTATTATTGAGACAGGGCGGTACTCAAACTTCCAAAGGGCTATAACTTTGTTACTTTAATTTTACCAGAAAAATGGTAAAGGAAAAAACATTTCTTTTGATCAGATCTACTCACTGTTAAAATAAATGACTCAACTTCGAAGTCACCCTGTATATTGGTCAAAGATCAGCGGACAGACAGACGGAGTGACATGGTTTTCGTAAAAAAACATCTCAATATGGAAACTTTTCGCGAGTACAATACTTCATCGCCAGCAGGCGTGCGAAGTAACATGAAATAACATCTATTACACAAGCCGTAAAATGTTACTGTGCAGTATGTCCCTGTTGGACGTCATCAATAAAAACGTGTGTGAGTGCCGTGCGCCTGGGTACGAGTGACGCAGATACAGTCAGGTCGTAGGTCATATATTACACAAATGACCTTATATATATCGCAGGACTGGCGCCGGTGTCTAGTGGTGAAAAATATGATCATGCTACCATTTGTCTGACCACCAATAAGATGAACTAGAGATTCGCATATGGGGACTATACGAGCCCCTTCCCACTTCAGTTGGCCCACTTCAAGATTTGTATCAAAATATGCATTTATAAACTAAACATGACGAAACTATTTACTTCTAAAACAATTTATTTTCTCAAAACCATTTTAGATACACTCTAGCCGTAAAAAATACATATTTGAAATCTCGTAGACCTATAACTAATAGAACACCCGAACAAATAAACAATGTGCGAATAAATGCGCGAAGTTAACAAAGCAACAATTGAAAGATTAGCATTGGGTAACATCACCTTTATTTTTTATTACGGCTGAGATTCTTTGGGGCATAGTGTTAACCAAGCAAAAATTTGGTGTAAAACAGTCTCATATTTCTTGAAGCTTTTGTCTCAGTTCGGTGATTGTACGAACAGGATGTTGTCGTAGAACCTTTTTCATCTCGTGCCACAAAGTTTCAATAGGTGACAGATCGGGACTGCTAGAAACCCATTTCAAAAGTGGTACATTATTTTCTTCCATCCATTTTATAGCCTTTTTTGAGGTATGGCACGCTGCACCATCTTGCTGAAACACAAAATCTTGGCCGGATGTCAAACATTCTTCCATCACTGGTAAAAGCTATTCTTCTAAAATTGCCAAATATTTGTTTGTATCCACATTTCCATCAATAAAATGAAATTTTCCTACTCCTTTTGATGACATACTACCCCAAACCATAATCGATGCTGGAAATTTCACTTTTCTCTTCAGAGAGTCAACATGGAATGCTTCATTTTATTGCGAATAACTCTACTGCGACTGTCACCAACACAAATTTCGAATCGGGCTTCATCACTCCATTGTATTGCAGACCATTGTTGAGGTGTCCATTGTCTATGTTCTTTAGCCCATCTAAGCCGATTTTTCTTTTGCAGTGGAGTTAATAGTCTCTTTTCTTTGGCCTATAAACAAATTGTGCAACTTTAAGGTTTTTGCTTCACTTTTTTTTATAAGAAAACTTACCTTGCAAGTGCTAAATCCCAGTTTGTGGGCCTCTATATGAGTTGTGGACCTCGAAATTCTCCTTCCAACAGCGTCACTCCACAGAGCACTTAATTGTAAATAATTGGCACGCCTGTTTTTCACGATTATTCTTCTTAATGCTCTTCGGTCGGCATTTGTGATATTACTTTTTTCACATATCGTGGCGTAATATTAACTGAACCAGTTACGTTATATCTTCTAACAATATTTCTCACACTGTACCGTGATAAGTCTAACAAAGTTTGATTTCCCAGAATTAAAAAATTTAATTATCAGTAACCGAATTTTCTCACTAATAACCTTTCCTTCACCCATTTTGAAAATCTTAACTACCCAAAACTATTTTAAACGTATTCTGACAGCTGTGATTAATAAAAACAATTGTCATGACTTTTATTTTTCACAGCCACCTATGCGTTATAGACTTATTTTGCATTGAATTGGAGGCACTCGGCATTGTGGAACTTTCTAAGTTGTCACAATTTTCAGTAATTCTTTTTTTTTCGATCTGAAGCGTTATATGCACATATTTGGTACATAACTAATATGGTTTATCCTTTGGGAACACTATGTAAAATCGATAAGGCTGTAAAATAATTCACAATTTTAAATTAAAATGTTTCAAAATATAGAAACAAATGTGACAACTTGCCCCTTGCTGGGGCGGGATGTCACATTGCTTGGGGTTGGTGGTCACGTGTGTTTTAGATCATTAATAAATTATGATATCATACTTTTGAACATATTTATTATTACAAAAAATGCTTATTAAACACCAAATCTTTATGAGAAAAAAGTAAAAGAGTTTTTTTACAATTAGTCACTATCGCAGTTATGACATTTGTAAAGTTCGCGTCGATCAGTGCACGCATCATGAGACCAACCATTACATGATGAGCATTTCACCCATTCTTCATTTGGCGCGCTGTTAGAAAATGGTTCAAGACAAATCAAGCGAAAGCATTCTTCTCCATCAGTTTCATTATTTGAACAGGACTTGCGTTTTTAAATTTTTTTAGATTTCTTAATTTTTTTTTCTGAATCAAAAACGTCTCTTTTCACTGTTTCCCCGTTCCTCTTTTTCTTGTTCCAGCATTTATTTTTCTCTTTCTCTAATTTGTCTTTTACTGGAGTGTCAGTGAGTATTGCACTCTCCCGTTTACGACGGGAAACTCGATTAATATTTCTGGCCGATGTCTTTGGATAAGGTCTCAAACTTTCTGGAAGTACTATATTTACCGTATGCAGCCTTACTAAACTACTACAGCAGGGATCATCAAAACTAGTTTGATTAGCTGTTTTGCCGTCTCGTATATTATCTATTGCTTCCTGCGTGTTAATATTTATCAGACTTACAGTTTCATCTTCCTTCAAGATGGTTGGATTTGGCCCACCTTCCTTTTCGTTTAAGGTTTCTGGGTTAGATCCAGTTATTGCTTCGTTCAAGATACACGGATCTGGCCTATCAGTGACAGAGCTCGGAAGAAAGTCATCATCCGTGAAAATATCTCTGTAGTAAGGAAACACACCCTACACCCGAAATCCAGACTGTATATTTTTGGGAGTAAATGCGAGGGGGTATGCGATAGAGACCACTGAAGGTATGTCGTATATAGTCATGGTCTTATCGGGATTATTTAAAACCCAAGCATCGCAGGAGTATTTACATGTCTTAGGGCCGAAAACGGCGCGGTCAAGAGGTTGAAGTTTATGTGGACAGTGAGGGTAAAAAGAGAGCATGACAATACCATTTGCTTTGGCAAAATTCAGTTCTTCTATACTCAGATGTGATCCATGGTTATCTAGTAAAAGCAGGCACGGTCTTTCCACAGTACTTTTCACATGAAGGTGAAAAAATCTAAGAAACTCCAACAAATGTGACTCTTTCATCCAACCTGATGGGTTTGCAGAATCTTGTGAGGCAAGAGGAGCCGAATTTAAAAAATGTGGTTTGAAATGTTCCCGTGGAAAAATGAAAAAAGGAGGTATGGAATTTCCAATAGCTGATACTGCACTTGCTAAAGTAAGTAAGAGTTCTTCTTTCTGATAAAACTATCGAACCAACCTGTTTGAATCCTCTTCTGGCAACAACGCGGTCGGGCCCTTGGCCCAGTTTCGTCCATGTTCCAGATTTCGTGAGGCTCAAATTTATGTTTTTCCATAACTGAAGCTAAATTATCAAAAAATGCGTTGACGTTCGTTTTATTGAAACTACTGGATCTTGCTAAACTAGTTGCTTCCGGTTTGCGAATAGACAGTACAGGATGACGTTTTAGAAACGCACTAAACCAGTCAGGACCAGCTATTTTATGGAGCCCCAATTTTCCGGCATTTTCAAGGAATTAGCATTAGCAAATTCATATGCTAGTCCACGTACTTCCTTGGATGATAATCTAAAATAAATATCAGATGCTTTGAGTATATATTCCACTAGATGATTTTCAAGTTCAGGCGCAAATACTAAATGATTTTTGATGTAGCCAACTGAAATTGACGGCGCAAGAACTCGATCATAAAGTAATTCAGACTCTGGAATTTTCTTACAGTATCTTGCTAAAGTACGGTAATTTACATTGAAGTCAGCTGCCGCTTTTCTTATTGAGGATCCTAATCTCACTAATCTAGCAGCTCTTAAAAGTACGCCAGGCGGCGCTTTGCCCTTCTCAGTCTTCCTTTTGAAATTTCGAACCATGCTTATGTAACCTGAATATATTAAAAAAATACATTATATACATATACCTACGTAGAATGATCTGCAAAGCTAATCGTCTAGTGTGGGGGCTGGTTGTCCCATGTGACAAGAGGCCCCCGCTAATTTGAGACAACCTGCCCCACCAGATAATTAATTTTTAAGCTTAGATAGCGTCACTAAATTAACAAATTCAAAGTCAATACTTACGTTAAGTCGTATTCCGATTATTGAAGAGCAAAATAAATTCAACAATTCTTTTTATTATCAAATGTAGTCTTGAAAACACAAATTATGTGGTAAACGAAAAATTTACTCAGGTTAGGCGATTTGTTTATTTTTGTGTGTGTGACCTTAATCTACCAACGAGAACTTTCGTACTGAATACAAGTGTTCTGTGCGGACGCAGAAACGATGTGTAGCGCGCCAGGCCACTACATCCTGCGGAGCTGCTGAGATTTAAGAATTGTGACAACCAACCCATGTGACAACCAGCCCCGGTCTCCCCTCATTTTCTTACTTACCCAAATGTACAACTTTGCCCTCTTATTGGTTCCTAGATCCAAATAGTGAAAGTCGAACTTTAAACACCTGGTATACGTATGTAACATATTTTATGCACTTTATTAGCTGATAAATGCACCATGCATTTATTTCAGCTCTAATTTATAGTTTTTATTCGCATTTTTATGATGCTTACGTTTATATAGCAGTGTGATATTATCCCGTCGACAGGCAGTTAGTTATTTATTTGTAATAAAATACGTTTGTCTTCGTTGCCTGGATACCTATTTTGTTTCGATTTGTATTTTTTGCTGGGTGTTATTGTATAAATAAGTAATTTCTAACTACGTTAACCGTAGTACACAATTATTTATGAACGTAAATTGCTTCAACCGATAGGCATCCTTTGAACTTGATTGATGAGGGTTTTCTAATAGCATGGACAACTTTAAGTGTAAGAATATTGTATTAATTGCCTTACCGTCTGTTGATTTTACTCAGGTCATGCAATTGACGGAACCCGACGATAGATAGACGATTTAAGACTGCAAAAGCAAAACTTTCGATTTGCAAAGTGACTGACGGCTTGTTAATCTATACAATATTTTTATACATATGGCAGCAATATTATGATAGTGTTCACCGACTGTAGAACTTTCACAGAAACCTCGTGATTTACTATCCAATTCTTTGCGGTCTGCTGGCCTTTTTGGGATGACCAGCAACTCATAATCTATTTACTTGTGTCCTAATTATGCCCGACGATATTCTGACGTTACAATGATAATCAATGTGTGTCTATGATGTAGGAGTTTTATCAGCAATGAAATGGTAGTCGATAAAATAGCTCAGTTGGTGAGTAGATATTGTTCGTTTGTACAGTGCTAAAAATACAGGATATGATTCCTTAGCTGATTCTAAGAAGAAAAGTTTATATGAACATATGCCTTAAGCCTTTTAACTTTTAAGCTACGGCTACATATACTAAGTGACATATAAATCCGAACACCAGTTTAAATCGTTTTATTTTAATAAAACTTGGTGAATGTATTTATCTTACTGTAAATAACAAGTGAAAAAATTTTCAGCCTTATCTGTTGGACATTCCGGTTTTTATACTGCTTTTTCTTAATTCACTAACGCTCTAAAACTGAATTTTTCAGCCGCAGTGAAGAATCAACGTTGGCGGATTTTGGTTCTTGACATCCTTTACGATCGGTTACGATGC